TCATCTTAAAGCGGCCAAGTTTGGACAACACTGATGTAGAACAAGAGGGATAAATGCCCACTTCTTGAAGGGTTTAGCAAATGGTTCAGTAGATACTGTAAACAGCTCTGGTTGATAGGCTCAGCAATCAGGTGGCAACACTTTTGTGATCTTGGCTTAGCTGTTGTCAGAAAGCTACCAAGATTGGACTTGCATGGGAGACCTTTGTGAACTGCTATGGCTGTAGGCTATCCTGGGAAAATGTGTGTGTGTATGTGCATCTATGCATCTCTATGTATCTAAATATTATGGAAGAAGGAAATAGCAATCCATTTGAGAAGCAAATTACGTGGCCAACAGCAACTGAGTGGCACAGAAAGGGAGAGAAAGACTTTACCTATAAAGCTGGCTGGGGAATAGTGGGAGTTGAAGTCCACACATCTTAAAGTTGCCAAGTTTGAGAAACACTGCTATAGAATCTTTACTTTTTGGCTATAGCTGATGGCAACCTTGACTGATCTTGAAAAAGTTAAGCAGGGTTGGACCTAGCTATATTTGGATGGGAGACCACCCAAAAATCCCAGACTAAAGTAGTAAATTTAAAAAAAAACGTGGAAGAAGGCATTGGTAAACCACTTCTGGACTGATGCCAAGAAAGCTACATAGACCTGCCCATTTAGTCACCGAGAACCAAAGTTGACTCAAGGGATTCTTTACTTTTATCTAGCTGGTGGTCTCTGGGTTTTAGCAAATAAGCAAAGCTGCTCCTACAAATGTAAAAACTATCCATTTCTGCTGCAGCCTGCTGAGAACATCTGGATTTAAACTACAGTGATGAGATATCCTGGCAGCTTTCAGATACGTTAATGCATTGGCTGACCTTGTCAAGTTCACAGTCAACAAATTACCATTTAAACTAAAACATCTCCAGTGTATCTGCAGTAGATGGCAAGAGCAAGTTACTTACTTACTCCTGGATTACTTATTTATATCCTGAGACATATTTATTTAGCTACAGACCTCTCTTGTATCCATATACATATGGATTTTTATACATTTTTACATATTTCCTATTAAAGTATTCAACTGATCTGTATTTCTGTGTTATACTATCTTGTACAGTGTACTCTATATTTTAAACATTTTTGAACTTCAGTTCACAAAGGTCTAGAAAGAATTTCTTTATCTCAAATAGTAGTAATGATAATTCAATAGTTTCTCTTAATGAATTTGACGTTATTTTTTTTAAAACAAAAACACACAGATTGTTATCGAGGAAATGGGACGAATTATATGGGCAATTTAGCCCAGACACGGTTTGGCTTGACTTGCTCTATGTGGGATAAAAACATTCAAGATTTAAGAAGGTATGTACAAAATTAATTAAAAGAAATGTTTTATTTTCTACCCTAGTCAGAGTGGAAAATTGTAACATATCATTCAGATGGCTTCCAGGTTTCCGATTTTAGCTTTCATTTATTACAAGACATCAAGACCACGGCCACACAGCCCGGAAGACCCACACCAGCCTTCATTTATTTTCTTTCTTGTCAACGCAGATAGATAGATAGATAGATAGATAGATAGATAGATAGATAGATAGATAGATAGACAGACAGACAGACAGACAGACAGACAGACAGACAGACAGATGATAGATAGATAGATAGGATGGTCGTTCCCCAAAAAAAAAAATTAGATTACATGTCTGAGGAAAAGAGTTAG